ACTGTGTATTTTTCGTGTGCGGGCCCACTGTCTACACAGATCGTGGTGTGATCTGTGTACACAGATCTCGTTCCCTTCTGTGTATTTGGAGTGTGCCCCTCGCGGGTGGTGTTGACTGGGCGGGAACTTTCGCGTTTCTCTTCCGGCTGATCCACGGGGGGCGTCGTACGCGGTTGAAATACACAGATCGTGTCTCCAATTGTGCATTTGTTGCGCGCCGCTCGCTGGAGTGGCCGCTGGGCGGGAGTTTCCGCAGATCTCCCGGCTGGTCCACTCGTGGGAGCACAGACCCGGGGCTGGCAGACCCGGGGTGGACTTTTTTCTTATGCCCTTTCATATGGCCTCCGGAACGGAGCCGGCCTGCCACGGCAGTTTTTCGGTTGCGTTACGAAGCAAGCGAGCTTCTCGCAAGCCGCGTGCATCGAGCCACGCCAGGGCCAGGCAAGCCGCGCTGCCGCTGCAGGACCCTTCCGACGCAAATTCTTCTGCATGGCAGGATTTTTTCTGCACTGCATTTTTTGTGTTCGGCAGCACTTTTGCGGGACATTTGAAAATATGCAATGCAGATTTTTGTTCTTGCATTTTCAGTTTTTGTTTCTTGCACGTATGGATTCGTCCGGCCACGAGCCGCCCCTGTGGGATATTGGGTACGGTGTGGACATCATGTTGAACATCTGGGCTGGGCGCGTGACAGGGCCCTTGGGCGTCAGAGCTTGCGCGCCCGAAACAGCTGCAAAATACAAGGCCCCAGCCCCCGGTCTGCCGACCCCGGATCATGGGAACCCCGATCCAAGGGGGGGCCGTGGTCTGGGCATGCAAAAGCGCGGGTAGGTGGGGATGGTGGGCTGTGGGAAGGAAGGGGTTCGATAGGAGGGGTGGCCAAGGGGCCAAGGATGGACGGGATTGGACGAGAGCAAAGGAAATGAACCCAGGAGGAGCTGCATCATCGGTGTGCGCATCACGAGGACGAGGGAGGCGGGGGGGGCAGAAGTTTGGGGCATGATGTGCACTAGGGCGTAGAGGATGGGAGGAGGGAGGGCAGGCATGTGGACGATGGGGGAACTAATCCGGCGGAGGAGGACGACGAGGAACGACATGAATTGGCACATGGGGGGTGGCAGTGTGGATGAGGGGATTGATGAAGACCGGGGCAATCGGAGGGGCAAGAGGGGGGTGGGGCCACAGCGAAGGGATATTTGGAAGAGGCGGGGGATGGGGCATGAGTTTGAGGCGGGCGCCAGCTAACGATTAGTTGAACAGTGTTCTGCGTGTCTGTACACCCCCCCAGAACACAGTGACTGGTTGCAGATCTTCATGATATGGGTAATCTTGCGCTTCGTGCTTCCAAGCCAAAGGCTCGAGTCCACGACGCCACTTGGCGTCGCGATAGTGCCGCCCCGATTTGCCAGACCGCATATGCACAGATACGCATAATATGTTTTGCAACGTTTTTCCCGGAAAGGGCTTGGGCCCAGGGTTCTCTTTTAGCTGTTTACCCCCCGGTCCTGACGGGTCAAGCGCCGGCGAAATTATTTGCGATAAATAACGAGGTAAAGTGCTGATTTTTTAGAAAAAGTGCGTTTTGTGCGTGCCCGCTCGAGGAAAGTTCGCCCCCCATCTCGGATCCTCGATAAATAACGGGGTCCGCAGACCCCCGCTTTCCCTCGTAAAAAAGAGGGTGCGGAGCGTTTTTCGCAGAATCCTCGAAAAATAACGGGGTCTGGAGCCCCGACCGCGACTCGGAAAAGCGCCCCGCGCGCAGGAATTCCGAGGATGTCTCGCGCGTGCCGCGTCCCGCGCGCAGGAATTTCGAGGATGTCTCGACTAATTCGCTTGTTTTGTCAGGATTTCTTAGAACTTTGGCAGGATGTCTCGAGCGAAACGCTTATTTTACATAGTTTGTGGAGGATGTCTCGAGCGAAACGCTGGTTTCCGCAAAATTTGGAGATGTCTCGAGCGGGGGGCCAGAATTCAGAGGATGTCTCAGGCGAAATGCTTGTTTTCGTGTCCCGCTCGCGGGAATTCCAAGGATGTCTCGCGCGGGCCGCGTCCCGCGCGCAGGAATTTCGAGGATGTCTCGACTAATTCGTTTGTTTTGTCAGGATTTCTTAGAATTTTGACCGGATGTCTCGAGCGAAACGCTTGTTTTTCATAATTTGTTGAGGATGTCTCGAGCGAAACGCTGGTTTCTGCAAACTTGGGGATGTCTCGAGCGGGGGCCTCGTGGGGGGCCAGAATTCAGAGGATGTCTCAGGCGAAATGCTTGTTTTCACGTCCCGCTCGCAGGAATTCGGAAGATGTCTCGCGCGTGCCACGTCCCGCGCGCAGGAATTTTGAGGATGTCCCGTAGCGCGTCCCCTTGGCACGGCCTACGGTGCGACCCCATGGCACGTCCCTTGGCACGTCGCCTGGCGCGTCCCTGGGGACGTTTCGCGGCGCGTCCTCCTGGCATGTTTTTGAGGATGTCCCTAGCGAAACGCTTGTTTTTCAGACATTGTTGAGGATGTCTCGAGCGAAACGTTGGTTTTGCAGAGTTGGGGATGTCTCGAGCGAAATGCTTGTTTTCATAACTTTTGGAGGATGTCTCGAGCGAAACGCTGGTTTTGCAGAGCCGACCGCGACGCGGAAAAGCGCCCCGCGCGCAGGAATTCCGATGATGTTTCGCGCGTGCCGCGTCCCGCGCGCAGGAATTTCGAGGATGTCTCGACTATTTCGTTTGTTTTGCCAGGATTCCTTTGAATTTTGGCAGGATGTCTCGAGCGAAATGCTTGCCTTTCATAATTTGTTGAAAACGTTTCGAGCGAAACGCTGGTTTTGCAAAATTGTCATAGTTTGTTGAGGATGTTTCGAGCGAAACACTGGTGTTGCAACATCGGGGGATGTCTCGAGCGGGGGCCTCGTGGGGGGCCAGAATTCAGAGGATGTCTCAGGCAAAATGTTTGTTTTCACGTCCCGCTCGCAGGAATTCCGAGGATGTCTCGCGCGTGCCGCGTCCCGCGCGCAGGACTTTCGAGGATGTCTCGACTAATTAGTTCGTTTTGCCAGGATTTCCTTGGATTTTGATAGGATGTCTCGAGCGAACCGCTTTTCCCCAGCACGTTCCGTAGCGCGTCCCCTTGGCACGTCCCGCGGTGCGTCCCCATGGCACGTCCCTTGGCACGTCGCTTGGCGCGTCCCTTGAGACGTTCCGCGGCGCGTCCTCCTGGCATGTCCCCCTGTCAATTAGCTCTGGGGCAGCTACTCTGTGTTCAGGCAGCTCGAGCTTAAGATCCAGATCAGTTCGGTCAGGACTCGGATGCAAAGGAGGACTCGATCCACGAGGCTATAGAGCACAATCGCGGCATGGCGAATCGCAATTCAGCGCGGCGCAGCACAGCACAAAAATTCGGCACGGTACATCAAGATCGATACACTCAGCATTGCAACTTGGCACGTTCCGTGGCGCGTCCCTTGGCGAGTCTCCCTGGCACGTCGCGTGGCGCGTCCCCTGGCACATCCCGTGGCACATCCATTGGCACGTTCCGTAGCGCGTCCCCTTGGCACGTCCCGCGGTGCGACCCCATGGCATGTCCCTTGGCACGTCGCCTGGCGCATCCCTTGGGACGTTTAGCGGCGCGTCCTCCTGACATGCTCCCCTGTCCATCAGCTCTGGGGCAGCTACTACGTGTTCAGGCAGCTCGAGCTTAAGATCCAGATCAGTTCGGCCAGGACTCGGATGCAAAGGAGGACTCGATCCATGACGCTATAGAGCACGTTCGCGGCACGGCACATCGAAATTCAGCACGGTGCAGCACAGCACAGCCCTCGGCAGGGTACATCAAGATCGATACACTCAGCATTGCATTTGCCCGTCACCCAATCAGGTGTTTCTTGAAAACACTGCCATGTCTTACAGTTCTATATTCCTTTCCGGGTTCGTGGGTCGATCATGTTTTATGACCCTCTCTGCAGTAACAGACCCACGTTGGAGTCCAATCTGTGTCCACGATTCGAGATGGTCGGTGCTTCAGGGACAACTCGACGATGGACAGGCTCAGGGGGGGAAACATCGACTCCCAATCGCCCCCTCGTTGCCCACAATACCCCAATAACCCGCCCTGTCCAGGAGCATGCGGATTCCCTACCGGGGGCCTATCGCCGACCAGCCGGCGATGCATCGCCGATTCACGCCCGATGTTTCCACCCCAGTCTTGGTCCCCCCCGAACGCTGCCCTTACCTTTGGCTGCGCGTAAGGGTGACCTTTCGCCAGGGTGACCTTTGGATGGAGGCTCACAGGGATCCGCGCTGGCAAGCGCGTTTGGATTGCTTGTATTTGGCCTCCTTCGCGGCCTCCTATCAGGCGCGCGCCAAAGCTTACTCTTGCTGATGGGCACTTTCATTCGGTAGCAATTCATGCGAACTTTGTGTACCCTCATGCGGAACCGCTTTTAAAGTGGGTCGGCGTCGATATAGCGTCTGGTAATTGATGAAACAACGCCGATGTAGCGTTGATTCGCGTCGACTAGTGTCGATCTAGTGTTGATTTAGCGCTGGATAGCGTCGATTAGCGTCGGTTCGCGTCGATTCGCAAGGGCCAGCAAGATAGCTTGGGATTTTCCCGTGAGTTACCACCGAATTCGGCGGCGACCCCGTCGCCAACGTTCAACCTTGGACGCCGCCAGTGACCCAGAATCGGGCGACCTTGAACGTCTGACGTTTCGGAAGCGGCCGATCGTTCAAGGCTGAACGATCCCCGCGGCGTCGGAAGCCAACGCCGAGGTCGGCACGACACGAACCCGCCGCCGCCGCCGCCGCCGCCGTCGTCGTCGTCGCCGCCGCCGTCGTCGTCGTCGTCGTCGTCGTCGTCGTCGTCGTCGTCGTCGTTGTTGCCGTCGTCGCCGTCGTCGTCGACGGCGTGCAGCCGACAGCCGTGCGCCGCCACCGGCGAGGCGGCGCCAGGGCGGCAGGCGCCGAGGCCCAAGGCGCGCGAGTGGCGGCGCGCGCGCCGGCGTCCTGCGAGATGGTCGCCCGCGGCGCGGGCTTCTGCCGCGCCGGCTTCTACGCCGGCTTCGACGGCAAGCACCTGACGGACCTGGGGGGTGAAGGGTCTGTTTTCCACCACCACCACCTGAAATTGGAGGGGGAGGGGGTCATCCTTCTCCTCGTTCTCTTCGTCGTTCTTCTCCTCCTCCTCCTCCTCCTCCTCCTCCTCATTCTCCTCCCCCTCCTCCTCCTTCCCCCCTCCAACTTATGGTGGTGGTGCCGGTGGTGGACACCAGACCCATCAGGCGGGGGTGGCGCCCCACCCGGACCCCTTCGCGTCCTTCGGCCACGCGCAGAGGGGGGTAGGGGGGAAGGTTTCTGAGAAGGAGGGCTGCTTCTAAGAAGCCATGCCCTCTCCCACTGCCCCCACTGTGCGTCCCGCCCAGACCCTGTCGCGGCGTGAACAGAGTCACAACGCGAGGTTCTTTAGAATTTTCGTCCTCTGGGGGCTCCCGCCGGGCCGCAGGACCGCAATCAAAAACTATTCAGGATGGAAAGCTGGTCCCTGTGGACGGCTCGAGACCTCTGGGCGTCGACGCTATGAACGAATCCTGACGTCGGGGGTCTGGGAATGGGGACGGGTGGGACAGTCAAGACGCAGAAAGAGGGACCCATTTCGGGCTCAGGATGGGGCTCTGGTTTTCGGGCCGCTCCTCAGATGCTACGTCGAGGAACCAATTCGTGGCCGAACCTCGCCGTAGATTTGGGCCAGTCGCGTAGACTTAGGGGCAGCGCCTCACATGAACGAGGCAGAATAGCAGGTTCTATTGCGCCGACATTCGCGCGTAAGCGGCCTGCGTGAGATGGCGTGTAAGCGCCCTCGCTTCTAGTGTAGCGTGCCGGGCTGGCGGCCCGCGTAAGCCGCGGCGTAATCGCTTCAGAGCGTTCTGGAGTCCGGAGCCCTCTCAGAGCCCGATCGGTCCGTATCGGAATTTGTCCTCGCCCTGCCCTCTTGATTGGGCGGGTGGATCTCACTGCCGGGGCCTCGATTCTTGCAGCACGCCCCCTGGGCCCCTTCCCTTCGCCCGCACGCGTGCCACGAGCCAGGACGCGCCGACTCTCCTCTTTCTGACTCCTCCTCCTCCTCCTCCTCCTCCTCCTCCTCCTCTTCCTCCTCCTCCTCCTCCTCCTCCTCCTCCTCGCTCCTCCTCGCTCCTCGCTCCTCCTCCTCCTCGCTCCTCCTCCTCCTCCTCGCTCCTCCTCCTCCTCGCTCCTCCTCCTCGCTCCTCCTTAATCCGCCTGAGTGGAGGTCGCCAGGGAGCAAGACGGGTCCTGCAGGTCGCTCTCGGCCTCCCGGGGCCCTCGACTGGCCCCGCGACTGTCCCGGCACGGCCCGGGAGGAAAAGCCGGTTGGCCATGGGGGGAGGCCCCGAGGTCCAGGAGCTCAGCTGCTCTGCTACGCACGTTTTGGAACGCAACACGTGCCGTGTCTAAAACGTCCGTGCTCAAAACGTACGTGTTCAGGCTACGTGTTGGGCTCCGTATCAGTACGCTGCGTGTTGCGTGTTGCGCATCGGGGCAGCTAAGTCCAGGATCCGTTGCGGCTGGCGGCGCGCAGGCGGGGATGCGGCGCGAGGGTGGCGGCCCCGCTGAGCAGGCTGGAGCCTGCAAGGCCCGCCAGGGCTCGTCTGGAGGCTGCCTGGAGGCCCCGAGCCCGCTCAGGAGGCTGGGGTCCGCTGGGGTCTGCGGGGCCCTCCAGGGCGCACCTGGAGGCTTCCCCAGAGGCCCCGAACCCCTCCCAAGACGGCGCCCGCCTTCTCCGCGAGACCTTCGCCTTCCCCCGCGCGCGCCCTCCGCCCCTTGCGCCACACCCTCGCGCGCGCCGCGGAGGAGGGCGCCTGCGCCAGCGCCTGCCTCGCGGAGAAGCACTGCGAGGCGGTGTCCTTCTGCCCACCGCAGGACGCCGACTGCGGACCAGGCGGCGCGCTCCCAAGAGGGCCTCGCGTTCCAGTTCCCAGACCCCCTCGAGCCAGGAAAAGTTCGCGACGGGAGGTTCTTTACAATTTTCGGCCTGTGGAGTCTCTCAACGGGCCCCGGGGCCGTCCAAAAACGGCTCGGGATGAAGAATCCGGGCTGAGGGAATGGGTCGAGACCTCTGGGGTCGACTTACAAATCATGACGTCGGGAGCCTGGCGAATCGGCACGCTGACATCTCGCCCCCGTCAAAGCGCGGTGGAAGTGCTCCGCCGGCGGCGGAAGGTCGTCGGAGGCCGGCGGAAACAAACGTTTGACACCCCAGGAGAGGTCAACGCCAGCGCACCCGGGGTTTCTGGAGTCGGCCAGGTTCGGGGGCAACGTTCTGATAGGCGGGAAGCTTCAGGGGTCCATGCATCGGCCCCTTCAATCGCCCATTCTTCGCTGATAGGGGCCAGATAGCCCGCCCCGCCCCAGGAGGGTGCGGATTCGCTGTCGAGGGCCTATCGCCGATCTATCGGGGATGTCTCGCCGATTCCAGCTCGGTGTTTCCCTCTCTGAGGTCGTCCCAGTCACAGGTAGCTGCTCCAGGTACTTTATCGACTGCACGTCCACTGACCTCATCGTGAACAGCTCCTTCGACGTGGCTCACTACACGTCCGTGAAGGTCCTCCCCCTCCTCATCCTCCTCCTCCTTCTCCTCCTCCTCCTCCTCCTCATCCTCATCCTCATTGACCGAATTGACCGCCGACTGACCGCACCCCTCACCATCTTCGAGGTGGCTATCAGGAAGATGTGAAGGCATATCTGGAATGCTTGGTCCGTGAAGTCGACGTCGTTCCGCTTTGCTACGCATGCCAACCTCAAGGTTCTTGTCGCTGGGGTCCAAACCGCTAACGACAATGGGTATGAGCAAGTAGGTCTGTCCAGGGGGGCTCCTTTGTCGCGTGATGCGGTAGCCAGCGCCGTGCTCGAGCCACGTATCTTCGTAGTCTAACCAATCATATGGTCTGCTGACCCACGTAGCCCTTGACCGAAGTCAGGCGGTCTTTGCCGAAGCATGCATGCGACGCAATAATAACTACAGTGTTGACCACACCGAGGTGGTCGTTCACATCCATCAGCCATTCGGGTAAGCTGGTGTTGTTCAGTATGGTCTGGAACTTCTCACAACATGACTGGTCCCGCAGCTTCATGACATCTAAGGGTGGCCTCCTGCGTAGTCTCGGTGGTGCCTTTGAACTGGAATACTGCATCTGTGCATATACTGGGTAGTGATCCTCGCCATCACAGTGCGAGTCAAATGAACAGTCCACCCAGCAACTTGTAGTGGCTTCGTGTAGCATGCCATTCGTGATGATGTGATATATCTCAGACTTAAACTTGGCAATGGAGACGTGTGTGTGTGTGCCCTCCCGCATGTCCGAAGAAGGAGGAGATCAAGGAAAGGTCGTGATCGTCAAGTATCATGCGGAGCATTGCCCCTAGGCCGTCGTCAACGTCTGGAGTGCAATAGAGAGGGTGATGTCCCCCTACCCTTGCGCTGTGAATCTCCCCATCCACTTGAGCACGCCCAATCTTCGCATTAGTCTCCCCCAATATGAGAATTGGGCTCCACTTCGTAAACAGATCTTCAAGTTCATGCCACCAATCGGCATATTGTAGCCGATCATGTCCTGCATGAGGCGCGTGAATCACATAGACGTACTCATCTATTCCAAAGGTGCAGAGCCGCACCACTAAAACTCTTGGATCTGAATGCACAATCCTGGCATTCGATCGCTGGAAGGTCTTGTGACCTTTAGGCCCCTTGCCGTATGACTTGTCCACGTTTACCAACAGAGTGCAATCCTAACACCTCCGAGTCTCCTGAACTCAAGACAAGGTAGCCATCACGTACTGCTGGTGCCGAAGGTGCTGGGGCTTCTTGGAGCCCTGCTAGAACGATGTTGGCCTCGTGTAGCTGAAGCCGCAAAAGTTGACCTCGAAGAGGCCGGCCACGATGGGAGTCGGCTTCACCACAGTGAGCTCGCTGTGCATTGCATGTCGCCACTGCCATCGAGATGGTGTATGCAACTGGCTTGGACGTTGGTATAGTATTGTCTGTGTTGGCGATGACCTGCCGCCGTACAGGGTGGTGCTCAAAGCCGCGCCCTGTGATCAGAGGATACGTCGCACGGTCCTGATGCCTGTCGTCCAGCAGGGGCGCCCATCCCCGGGCTGAGTCAGGGCGCACGAGAGGTATAATACAATCTGGAAGCTGAGCATGCGGGCGATCCCGAGCACGCTTAGCAATCGCGTCCGACATCTCGTTCCACGGGTGCCCTTCATGGCCAAAAGTGTGGGAGAGGGTCACGTCGTGGGTCAGACGAAGAGTGCCGTAGGCATGAGCTGCAAGTTTGGCGAAAGCCTATCGCTGCTGTGTCTCCGACGAAGTCCGCGCCAGTGCAGGTTTTCAGTCACAGACGACCTCAACCTGGGGGTGGGTGTCGAGCTGCATGGCGTATAGTTGAGACCATAGAAGCCCAGCAGTCTCAGTAACGCTGTTGATGTCGCTGTCGGGAAGCGCGCTGTTGATGCTGTTCACGACAGGGGCACTGAAACACCCGGCGAACTTAAAGCCTGTGCCGTCCGAGACCACCACAGTACAAGCCCATGCTGACTTATGAGGAGCGCCGTCCCAGTACGAGCCGTCGGCAAAGATGAAGACGCTGGTCACAGGTGACTCGAGGTCCCTGGCGAAGTTGAGGGCTAGCTGCGTATGCTCGTGGAGCCTGCATCCAGCCAAGCTTCGCTGAAGTCGGATCCTCCACTGGAGCTTTGAAAACACCAAGCTGAGGGGTATCGGTATCTCCATGCGGCGCGCGCGCGGAGCCTGGTCACTTGGCACCTGGCGGTGTGCAAAAGCTGAATCCCGACCTCGCTGAACACGCTGTGCATCATGGCGAGGATCTTGGTCTCTTATGCGTATGTTTTCATGCGAAACTGCGCTCGACTGCACTGGCTGCGGGCGAAGAGGCTGCAGGGGGACAAAATGGCCCCGTCGTCGAAACAGGTGACGAACGATCATAGACGGCAGGTACGCGATGAGCGTGTGCGCTGAGCGAGGGAACCTGCAAGTTGACAGGAGATTCTCGTGCTAGGGCTGCCGTTCCCGATACTGGCGGCAGCCCTTCCCCTGAGGTCAGGGGGCGAAACGCTTGTTGTGGTATCCGCGTCTGCACGAGCTTCTCTGTTGGCAAAAGTTCATATTCCTCTTCATGCAGTGGCCAAGGACTCGATGTCGTAGCAAAGCCTCCAGTGGAACCGTCCATCCGTGTCTGTGATGCCTCTGTCGGTCCTTTGCGCATTGGATGCAGGAACGCTCTGCCGTACTTGCGTGCTGGCGGCTTGTGCTGGAGGCTGCGGTCAGTTTCGTCTTCGACCCCAGAGGATAACATGCCTTCAGCAGCTGCACCCAATACTTCAATACCGTCAGCGTCGGGATCAAGGTCAGCAGGTACAGGTGCCTCGGCTGCATCTGTGAAAGTGCTTGAACCTGTTACCCGTGGAGATTCGACGATAAGTACTGCAACTCCAGCCTGTTGGTTAGGTGGTTGAGCTGAGCTTAGGACGTCGAGGTGCGCTGCCTGACCTGACGCCCTCAGCTCCGCTTGCTTGTCCCACTCTCCAGTGGACAGTTCTGCAGCAGTAGCCTCCAACTCCTCCTCATATCGGTGCAATGCAGCCTTGTGTGCAAGACTGTCAGCATATGCCTCGAGCTGCAATGCGTCGTCAAGTTCCTCGCGTGCACGCTCTTGGGCGATTATGTTCAACTCACCTGCAAATTGTTGTTCAAATGCACCGGCCGGCAAAAGCTGCTGACTCGTGGTGTCTGCCGAGTCGAGCGTCGATGCCCGTGGAACGTCTTCCGCGTGTTGTGTTGGAGGTCCCTCAGCCACTGGTTGATGAAATGTCAACGTAGGTGAAATTCCAATCGATGAGCCTGATGACCAGCCTCCAATGACAGGATCACGTACCAGACCGAGCCAACTGCTCTGATCTTGTAAATCTGGAACTGGAAGGTGAGGAACTGGTACAGGTGGCGGTGGACACTGTGTAATTTGGCGTGGTACTGGTCCAGGTGCAAGCGAATCAGCAACAGCAAAGGCTTCAAATTCTCTTTGCTGGTGGACCAAACCTCGAGCTCCTGAAGCCCCTCTCGGTTTTCAGCCTGTCGACGCGCTCAGCGTGGTCCTCGAAATTTAGCATATCATCCACCGCTCGTGTAAGTGTAGATCTGGAATCAGGCGTCCGAGTGTGAGCTTCTGGGGTATACGGGTGCCGTCCCGCCATGTGTCTGCCATGCTCAACTTGCGCCTGGGCTTCTTGTTCCGCTTGACGGTGCAGTTCCTCTTCAAACTTAGTGTCCTCCCTTGCCAAGCCACTGGAACCTTAGAAACGCATGGCGGAGGCACGTAGGGTTCGTCTGCCGCTGCTTGCCGACCCCGCCGTTGCGGTCCATAACGCACGCTGCTCTCCTTTGTCTTCTCGATTTGCGCCAACTCTTCCTCCAAGAACTGGTTTCTAGCTTCTGCTTCCTGGACCGCCGACACGGGGCGTGCGCGATCTGCTGCAACTTGGGAGCGATGCTCAGCCAGCTCCGTCCATGTCGCTGTGTAGTCGGCATCATGAGCTTGCTTGACTTCTTGAAGATGGCGGAGCATGGCCAGGCGCGTGCACTCGATCTGCCTTGCCTCCGAGTGCTGGTGATATGCCGCCTCGCCAAACATTGTTTTGCATGACAATTCCCAAGAAGCCATCCTCTGTCCCGCTTTGAGTATCCCTTGTTTGTCCGTATCCATCTTCTCAACAAGCCTTTCCCCAGCTCTTGACAACATCGATTCCTTCTGACGAAGTCCCGCGTTAAGCATCTGTTGTGATAGCTCGAATGGTATGTGCTGTTGTCGTAGCTGGTCATCTTGCTGGCGTCGCTGTTGTAGCAGCTCCTGAGACTCCTCTTGATGGGCACGACGTCGTTTGACATACCCTTCCTCATGTTTGCCCCGTGTAGCCGACACTAAGGCCTCCGCACGTTCTGACACATCGAATCGCCAAAAACCATACGCTCCTCCATGCGCTCGTTCTGCTGCTGCATCTCCGTCGCTAACATTTCATCATAGCTGCGGCGCGTTCAGTGTACTGGTTCTGCTCAACACGCATGAGTTCCTTGACCTCCTCAATGTCGTGCTTACCCTTTCCTTTGCCAGGGCTGCTCTGAATCGTCGAAGGTATCTGCTGGGAGCAACCTGCTTCCGGCTTGCATACCTGATCCTGCTTCATGCTGAGGTGGCGCCTGAGACGCTGCCCTTGGCGTCGGGGACAGCGTCATCGCTGGTGGAGCCCGAGGCGGGGAGCTCGCTGGCTGCCGCTGTAGCTGGCCTCCATATCTGTCAAATACTGCCACCGCCATGTCCGCCGCGATCAACGCTGCTGTTGCTACAGAACCCTGCAGATGTGATGATCTTTGCGGTGAAGCTGGTGGTGACTTACGCAGACCTCGAGCTTCATCTTGGTGCGGATTCTGAACTCCAAGCTGCTGTGCGATGCCAGGTCCTGAAATCGGCGACCCTTGAAATGAAGCTTGACGCTGAAGATGCCGTCCATCGACAATCGGTGTCCTATTCTGATATGTTGGTGGCGGTGGCGGCGGTGGTGGTGGTGGCGGCGGCTCCTCGCTGCCGCTGCTCTTTGCTCTTGCCCTCGCTGCCAGGTTAAGCCGCCGATCAGAACCTGAGTCTGCGACCGTCTTCGAGCTGATGTCCTGCTGCTCCTCGGTCGCCTCCCTAAATAAATCCTTGAAGCAGTCATGCAACGTCTTCTGATACAATATGTCATCAGATAACACCTCCACCTTGCGTTCGAGAGCGCTGATGCGCTCCTCTGCCTGTGTCATACCCGCTTTGGCTTCTGCCCTCTGGGCCGCGATGTGCTTGAGCTGCCTGCGCGTCCACTTCAATACGCTCAACTCGTGCTCCTGCGCGCCCATGTAGGTACCCGGCTTTTTCCCGGAAAGGGCTTGGGCCCAGGGTTCTCTTTTAGCTGTTTACCCCCCGGTCCTGACGGGTCAAGCGCCGGCGAAATTATTTGCGATAAATAACGAGGTAAAGTGCTGATTTTTTTAGAAAAAGTGCGTTTTGTGCGTGCCCGCTCGAGGAAAGTTCGCCCCCCATCTCGGATCCTCGATAAATAACGGGGTCCGCAGACCCCCGCTTTCCCTCGTAAAAAAGAGGGTGCGGAGCGTTTTTCGCAGAATCCTCGAAAAATAACGGGGTCTGGAGCCCCGACCGCGACTCGGAAAAGCGCCCCGCGCGCAGGAATTCCGAGGATGTCTCGCGCGTGCCGCGTCCCGCGCGCAGGAATTTCGAGGATGTCTCGACTAATTCGCTTGTTTTGTCAGGATTTCTTAGAACTTTGGCAGGATGTCTCGAGCGAAACGCTTATTTTACATAGTTTGTGGAGGATGTCTCGAGCGAAACGCTGGTTTCCGCAAAATTTGGAGATGTCTCGAGCGGGGGGCCAGAATTCAGAGGATGTCTCAGGCGAAATGCTTGTTTTCGTGTCCCGCTCGCGGGAATTCCAAGGATGTCTCGCGCGGGCCGCGTCCCGCGCGCAGGAATTTCGAGGATGTCTCGACTAATTCGTTTGTTTTGTCAGGATTTCTTAGAATTTTGACCGGATGTCTCGAGCGAAACGCTTGTTTTTCATAATTTGTTGAGGATGTCTCGAGCGAAACGCTGGTTTCTGCAAACTTGGGGATGTCTCGAGCGGGGGCCTCGTGGGGGTCCAGAATTCAGAGGATGTCTCAGGCGAAATGCTTGTTTTCACGTCCCGCTCGCAGGAATTCGGAAGATGTCTCGCGCGTGCCACGTCCCGCGCGCAGGAATTTTGAGGATGTCCCGTAGCGCGTCCCCTTGGCACGGCCTACGGTGCGACCCCATGGCACGTCCCTTGGCACGTCGCCTGGCGCGTCCCTGGGGACGTTCTTTGGCACGTTCCGTGGCACGTTCCGTGGCGCGTCCTGTGGCGAGTCCCCCTGGCACGTCGCGCGGCGCGTCCCCGTGGCACGTCCCGTGGCACGTCCATAATGCATTGGCACGTTCCGTAGCGCGTCCCCTTGGCACGTCCCGCGGTGCGTCCCCATGGCACGTCCCCTGGCACGTCGCCTGGCGCGTCCCTTGGAACTTTCGGCGGCGCGTCTTCCTAGCATGCCCCCCGTGAATTAGCTCTGGGGCAGCTACTATGTGCTCAGGCAGCTCGAGCTTAAGATCCAGATCAGTTCGGTTAGGACTCGGATGCAAAGGAGGACTCGATCCACAACGCTATAGAGCACAATCGTCACGTGGCACATCGCAGTTCAGCACGGCGCAGCACAGCACAGCCCGCGGCACGGTACATCAAGATCGATACACTCACTCAGCATTGCAATTTGGCACGTTCTTTGGCACGTTCCGTGGCGCGTCCTGTGGCGAGTCCCCCTGGCACGTCGCGCGGCGCGTCCCCTGGCACGTCCCGTGGCACGTCCATTGGCACGTTCCGTAGCGCGTCCCCTTGGCACGTCCCGCGGTGCGTCCCCGTGGCACGTCCCCTGACACCTCGCTTGGTGCGTCTCTTGGCACGTCCCGTGGCACGTCCATTGGCACATTCCGTAGCGCGTCCCCTTGGCACGTCCCGCGGTGCGACCCCATGGCACGTCCCCTGGCACGTCGCCTGGCGCGTCCCTTGGGACGTTCTGCGGCGCGTCCTCCTGGCATGTTCCCTTGTCAATCAGCTCTGGGGCAGCTACTAGTTATGTGCTTAGGCAGCTCGAGCTTAAGATCCAGATCAGTTCGGTCAGGACTCGGATGCAAAGGAGGACTCGATCCACAACGCTACAGAGCACACTCGTGGCATGGCACATCGCAATTCAGCACAGCACAGCACAGCACAGCCCTCGGCACGGTACATCAGGGTCGATACACTGAGCATTGCATTTGCCCGTCGCCCAATCAGGTGTCTTTGAAACGTTGCCATGTCTTACATTTCTATATTCCTTTCCGGGTTCGTGGGTCGATCATGTTCCCTTGAGTTAATAATTCTGCAAGCTTCTGCCTGTTGTCTTCCACTGTTGCTTTGAACTGCTTCATCTCTCTTTGTCCAGGCGCTGCTTTATAAGCTGAATGTTTTTTGGTGTACTCTGCCGTGCTCATCATGTGGTTATTTAGCGTCGACTGAACCTCTGACCTGAAAGATGCTCGATCTCGTTCCCGTGTGCGGTCGTCAGCTTGTCGCTGCTGGTGCTTCCTCCATGTCATTGTGCATCCCCTCCATGTGCCTAAAACGTCCATTGTGCTGCCTTTGCAGCTCCACGTGCCTTGTTCTTTCGATGTGTGACACTCGATACAAGTCCACGCTCCTGTAGATCCCCCCGTCATCGTCGAAGCCGATGTCGGACCCGTACTGTGATGCTTTGCAAGCCTAGCCCTCGCTCGATCCAACCGAAGGAGAAGACGTGCCTCTGCTCGCAGTCGTCGCTGTCGCCTGTGCCAAGCGGGAGACCGACGCCGCTTGGGCGTAGCTGCGGGCGACACCGCAGCCTGCAGCACGCCGAGTGCCGCACCTTCTGCAGCCGCGGGCGAGGCCGCCGCGCTGAGCCCCGACCTCGCAGGCCGGCCCGATGGCGCGGCGCGGCGCGCGCCCCCGCCGCGGACGGGCCCCCCCGCGTACGAGAGGTCAGGGCTTCCTCCTCCTCCTCCTCCTCCTCCTCCTCCTCCTCCTCCCCCCTCCTCCACCTCCTCCTCCACCTCCTCCTCCACCTCCTCTTCCTGCTCCTCCTGCTCCTCCTCCTCCTCCTTCTCCACCTCCTCCTAGTTATCCTCCTTCTCCTCCTCCACCTCCTCCTCCTCCTCTTCCACCTCCTCCTCCTCCTTCACCTCCTCCTCCTGTTCCTCCTCCTGCTCCGCCTTCTCCTCCTCCTCCTCCTAGTTCCTCCTCCTTTTCCTCCTCCTCTCCCTCCCTTACATCGGCGCTACGAAAGTTTTGACCCGTTTTGTGTTTTCAGCTAAACAACGCCTGAGCATCACATTGGTTATGAACACCACGACGCCCGTGAGCATCACTCCAAAGCTTGAGAGCACCACTGCACCTATGAGCAGCCGAGCGCCGATAATCACTTTGACGATAGCATCCCCGTGCCGTCGTCGCCGTCGAATTCTGTGTTGGAGGAAGTCCTGGGCGGGAGCGCCATTTCGAGTTCGAACGGAACAAATGCCGAACCTCATTTTGCAGGAAGTCCTGCGCGGGAGCGCCATTTCGAAATCGAGGCAAAAAGGTTCCGACGTCTATTTTTGAGGAAGTCCTGTGCGGGAGCGCCATTTCGAACTCGAAGCAGAAAGGTTTCGAATTCTATGTTTGCGGAAGTCCTAGGCGGGGGCGCCATTTCGAAATCGAACCCGGAAGTTTCCAAATCGTTCAAAATGGTTTTTTCGATGAAGTATCAAGCGAAACCGCCGTTTCGAAATGGCCACACCGTTCCGACTTCTATGTTTGAGGAAGTCCTGTGCGGGAGCGCCATTTCGAACTCGAAGCAGAAAGGTTTCGAATTCTATTTTTGCGGAAGTCCTAGGCGGGGGCGCCATTTCGAAAACGAACCCGGAAGTTTCCAAATCGTTCGAAATCGATTTCCCGAGGAAGTATCAAGCGAAACCGCCGTTTCGAAATGGCCGCACCGTTTGGCATTCAAAATTTTAAAAGCCCTGACCCGATAACTCGAAAATGCAGCTGTCGCTTAGGACTTCCTCCCTCAAACGAGCTCGACTGGATTTCGAAACCCTCGGGCTTACGGGCCCGAGGGTTTGTACTGGGGCCGAACATTGTACTGGGGCCCCGCGGCCGAACGGGCCCACTGCCAACGTTGTACTGGGGCTTCGTCGCCTACCGCGGGGCGTTGACTCTTGGCCGAGCTTTCGCAGCGGCGAGGTATCCTTGGGGTTTAAGTTTCGCGGTTGCAGTTGCGGTGCGATTCGATCATGGTGCCTGCTGATGCGTGAGAGATGTGCTGCCCGCATCGAAGGGGGGAAGGAGGGGAGGAGGAGGAGGGGGAGGACGAGGAGGGGGGAGGAGAACGAGGGGAAGGAGGAGGAGGAGGAGGAGGAGGAGGAGGAGGAGGAGGGGGAGGACGAGGCCGCCCGCCCGCGAAGGTGTGCCGGGGAAGCCCGGCCTGGGGCTCCCAGCCGGTGCAGCACTTCGCCGACGCGGCGCCCGTGTTCGACTCGCGCGGCCTGGCGGTCGGGAGCTGCCCCGAAGTCTCTGCCGAGGCTCCGGGGTCCTTGTCGGTCCGCTCGGCCTGCTTCCCCCGATCCTTTCGAATCGTGGGGACAATCGCGACGCGAGGCTTTCGGCCTGTTTTTGCCTATGGCCAGGGATGGAAACCAGCCCTAGGATCGAGTGTTCCGGGGACCGTGTATGAAACAAGTAAAGGCATCGGAGATCTGGTCATGTCGAGTCGATCCATCTGATTCGATATCGATTCTGGCTGGGCCCGAGCCGACTCGATCCAAGATCTCCGACGATTTTTGTTGTGTTCAATGTGTTTTTCCCGGAAAGGGCTTGGGCCCAGGGTTCTCTTTTAGCCGTTTACCCCCGGATCTGACGGGTCAAGCGCCGGCGAAATTATTTGCGATAAATAACGAGGTAAAGTGCTGATTTTTTTAGAAAAAGTGCGTTTTGTGCGTGCCCGCTCGAGGAAAGTTCGCCCCCCATCTCGGATCCTCGATAAATAACGGGGTCCGCAGACCCCCGCTTTCCCTCGTAAAAAAGAGGGTGCGGAGCGTTTTTCGCAGAATCCTCGAAAAATAACGGGGTCTGGAGCCCCGACCGCGACTCGGAAAAGCGCCCCGCGCGCAGGAATTCCGAGGATGTCTCGCGCGTGCCGCGTCCCGCGCGCAGGAATTTCGAGGATGTCTCGACTAATTCGTTTGTTTTGCCAGGATTTCTTTGGATTTTGACAGGATGTCTCGAGCGAAACGCTTGTTTTTCAGAATTTGTTGAGGATGTCTCGAGCGAAACGCTGGTTTTGCAAAATTGGGGGGATGTCTTGAGCGGGAGCCTCGTGGGTGGCCAGAATTGAGAGGATGTCTCAGGCGAAATGCTTGTTTTCACGTTCCGCTCGCAGGAATTCAGAGGATGTCTCGCGCGTGCCGCGTCTCGCGCGCAGGAATTTTGAGGATGTCTCGACTAATTCGTTTGTTTAGCGAGGATTTCTTTGGATTTTGACAGGATGTCTCGAGCGAAACGCTTGTTTTTCATAATTTGTTGAGGATGTTTCGACTAATTCGCTTGTTTTGCAAGGAATTCTTTGGATTTTGACAGGATGTCTCGAGCGAAACGCTTGTTTTTCAGAATTTGTTGAGGATGTCTCGAGCGAAACGCTGGTTTTGCAAAATTGGGGGGATGTCTCGAGCGGGAGCCTCGTGGGTGGCTAGAATTGAGAGGATGTCTCAAGCGAAATGCTTGTTTTCACGTCCCGCTCGCAGGAATTCCGAGGATGTCTCGCGCGAGCCGCGTCCCGCGCGCAGGAATTTTGAGGATGTCTCGACTAATTCGTTTGTTTAGCGAGGATTTCTTTGGATTTTGACAGGATGTCTCGAGCGAAACGCTTGTTTTTCATAATTTGTTGAGGATGTCTCGACTAATTCGCTTGTTTTGCTAGGAATTCTTTGGATATTGACCGGATGTCTCGAGCGAAACGCTTGTTTTCCAGAATTTGTTGAGGATGTCTCGAGCGGGAGCCTCGTGGGTGGCCAGAACTCAGAGGATGTATCAATCGCGCCATGGCACATCGCAGTTCAGCACGGCACAGCACAGCACAGCCCTCGGCACGGTACATCAAGATCGATACACTCAGCATTGCAATTTGGCACGTTCGCTTGGCACGTTCCGTGGGGCGTCCCTTGGCGAGTCCCCCTGGCACGTTGCGTGGCGCGTCCCCTGGCACATCCCGTGGCACATCCATTGGCACGTTCCGTAGCGCGTCCCCTTGGCACGTCCCGCGGTGCGACCCCATGGCGCGTCCCCTGGCACGTCGCCTGGCGCGTCCCTTGGGACGTTTCGCGGCGCGTCCTCCTGGCATGTCCCCCTGTCCATTAGCTCTGGGGCAGCTACTATGTGTTCAGGCAGCTCGAGCTTAAGATCCAGATCAGTTCGGTCAGGACTCGGATGCAAAGGAGGACTCGATCCACGAGGCTATAGAGCACAATCGCGCCATGGCACATCGCAATTCAGCACGGCGCAGCACAGCACAGCCCTCGGCACGGTACATCAAGATCGATACAATCAGCATTGCAATTTGCAGGACCACCGCATTGTCTCCTGCCGCGCCCCTCTGTATAGCCCAATGCATTAGAGTTACTTGGCACGTTCCGTGGGGCGTCCTTTGGCGAGTCCCCCTGGCACGTTGCGTCGCGCGTCCCCTGGCACATCCCGTGGCACATCCATTGGCACGTTCCGTAGCGCGTCCCCTTGGCACGTCCCGCGGTGCGACCCCATGGCACGTCCCCTGGCACGTCGCCTGGCGCATCCCTTGGGGACGTTTCGCGGCGCGTCCTCCTGGCATGTCCCCCTGTCAATTAGCTCTGGGGCAGCTACTATGTGTTCAGGCAGCTCGAGCTTAAGATCCAGTTCAGTTCGGTCAGGACTCGGATGCAAAGGAGGACTCGATCCACGAGGCTATAGAGCACAATCGCGCCATGGCACATCGCAATTCAGCACGGCGCAACACAGCACAGCCCTCGGCACGGTACATCAAGATCGATACACTCAGCATTGCATTTGCCCGTCACCCAATCAGGTGTCTTTGAAAACGCTGCCATGTGTTACAGTTCTACATTCCTTTCCGGGTTCGTGGGTCGATCATGTTTCTTTGGTTGAGGCCTCTGGGGCCCGCTATCGAGTCCCAGGACCACCAAACAGGTGTGCTGGACGCAAGACTATCCCAGTTAAGGGGTCGGGAGTTCTGGGGGCGCCGATTGAAAAACATATCGGAGGATGTCCAGAAATGTCGATCGGATCGATCTGATGCGAGATCGACTCCGGCCAGGTCCAGTCCGACGCTCTTCCAGTACGACGACGGCCGACCCACGTTCCAAACCCGATTCGAGCTCCCCTGGCGGCACGAGCAGCAACACAGAGGAGTGCGCGGGGGTTTCTAGCAGACAGGGGCCTTCTTGGCAGGGCCTGGGGGCACCGAAGAAGCCTCCTCAGAATCACCCGGGCCCTCTTTGTAAGAACCCAGACATCCGGCTGCTTCCATTTTTTTTCCCGGAAAGGGCCTGGGCCCAGGGTTCTCTTTTAGTTGGTAAACCTAATCCCCCGGTGCCTGCTTGAGGGAGGCCGGCGAATTTTTTCCCTGATAAATAACGAGGTCGAAGGAGGCCGGCGAATTAAAACTTGAGGATGTCTCGAGCGAAACGCTTGTTTTTGAAGTCCCGATCGATAAATCACAGGGTGCGGGCCACTTTTTCGTGTGTTGAGGATGTCTCGAGCGAAACGCTTGCTCCGCAGAGTTTGCCGAGGATGTCTCGAGCGAAACGCTTGTTTTGCAGAGCCGACCGCGACGCGGAAAAGCGCCCCGCGCGAGGAATTTCGATGATGTCTCGACTTTTTAACTTTTCTTTTTATTTTTTTTTTTTTTTGAATTCCTTTGTTTGTGTAGATTCATTTCCTGAATTTGGGCTGCGATGTCTCGAGCGAAATGCACACGGGACCCTCCTTGCACGACCATACACCAGCACGAAATCACCAGCACGACCTGACCCCAGCACGACCCCCACACCGCACGACCCCACCCAGCAACGACCCATACCCCAGCACGACACACCCCCAGCACCGACCGACCCCGAGCACGTCCCATACCCAGCAAGGACCACCCCCCAGCACGCCCCACCACCCAGCACGACCTCCCCACAGCAGGACCACACCCCACGCTCGACCACGCCCAGCACGGACCACGCCCCAGCACGACCACGCCCCAGCACGGCACCCCCAGCAAGACCTCCCCCCAGCACGACCACCACCAGCACGACCCACACCAGCACGACCACACCCCAGCACGACACTCCCCAGCACGACCACACCCCAGCACGACCCCACCCCAGCACCAGCACGACCACACCCCAGCACGACCCGATCGATAAATCACAGGGTGCGGAGCACCCCAGCACGAACCCACCCCAGCACGACCCCACCCCAGCACGACCCCACCCCAGCACGACCACGCCCCAGCACGACCACACCCCAGCACGACCACCCCCCAGCACGACCACTCCCCAGCACGACCCCACCCCAGCACGACCCCACCCTAGCACGACCACACCCCAGCACGACCACCCCCCAGCACGACCCCACCCCAGCACGACCCCACCCCAGCACGACCATACCCCAGCACGACCACACCCCAGCACGACCCGACCCCAGCACGACCCTACCCCAGCAAGACCACACCCCAGCACGACCCGATCGATAAATCACAGGGTGCGGAGCACCCCAGCACGACCCACCCCAGCACGACCACCCCAGCACGACCCCACCCCAGCACGACCACGCCCCAGCACGACCACACCCCAGCACGACCACACCCCAGCACGACCACTCCCCAGCACGACCACACCCCAGCACGACCACACCCAGCACGACCACTCCCCAGCACGACCACACCGCCTTGGTTGAGTGGTTGCCTGTCGTCGTGGAATGTTTCGTGGGGTGTCTCGTGGAATGTTTCGCGGGGTGTCTCGTGAAATGTTTCGTGAGGTGTCTCGTGGAATGTTTCGTGAGGTGTCTCGTGGGCTGTTTCGTGAGGTGTCTCGTGGGATGTTTCGTGAGGTGTTGCCCAGTTGGGTATCATGAAAACGTGTCCATGCTCCACATGTCTATATCCCTTTCCGGGTTCGTGGGTCCATCATGTTGATGCGTGGCCCCCCGAGATCCGGACCAGTTCCAAAGGGCCGGTTTTTCGTCCCGAGTAGTTTTGCCCGGAAAGGGCGTCGGCCAAGGGTTCTCTTTTAGTATGTAAACATGTCCCCGGTGCCCAACTTGAAGGAGGCCGGCGAAATTTTTCCCTGATAAATATCGAGGTCGAAGGAGGCCGGCGAAATTATGTTTGAGGATGTCTCGAGCGAAACGCTTGTTTTTGAAATCCCGATCGATAAATCACAGGGTGCGGGCCACTTTTTCGTGTGTTGAGGATGTCTCGAGCGAAACGCTTGCTCCGCAGAGTTTGCCGAGGATGTCTCGAGCGAAACGCTTGTTTTGCAGAGCCGAC